GCGGAGGCCAAGGCAAAGAAACCATGCAGCAAAACCAAGGAGCAGCTCTGGGCCGGCTTTCTGGACCATAGACCATAGAGGCAGAGGCCAAGGGACTATGTGGCTGAGAGGCTGAGAACTAGAGAGGGACTTGCCTACTGACTGCAGAGAGGTGTTGCTGTAGAGTCTTGATACTGAAACTCCCTTGATATTCATTCTCTCTCTCTCTCTCTCTCTCTCTCTCTCTTCCATAGAGTCAATTGCTACTCATAGTGACCCCAGTGAATGTCTGAGGCTGTACCTCTTCACGGGAGCAGAAGCCTTATCTTTCTACCATGAAGCTGCTGGCATCTTCAAACTGCCGACCTTGTGGACAGCCCTGCGCCACCAGGACTCATGCCAATGGTAAAAGCTGTGAGTGCTGTGTGGTCATGGAACAAAGTATCAAACCCAGCAGAGAGGCATAGTGCCATGAGAGGAAAGGTGGGTAAAGAAGGATGGAGAGTGTGACATGTCTGACCTCTGCCTCCTGGCAATAGGGACACCGGAAGCAGTTAGATATGGTCCCCAGCCTCAATGAGCTGTTTTCACACTACCTCTCTCCATGAAGGCAGAGGGCATTCAAAAGGTATATAACTGCTACTCAGATGAGTTAAAAAAATCTCTTCATCAGAAATGATGGACAGGGATATTTTAAGAGGTAACGACACTACAACACAAAAACTCATAGCAACTCTACAGACAAAGAACTGCCCATCCATGAGGCTGTCAACTTTCTCCCTCAGAGTGGCTAGTGGACTTGAACCTACAAGCTTTGAGTTAGCAGCCCAATGCTTAACTCACTGGCAACCGGGTCTTCTCTGTACTATAATGCACAGTGAGGCTATAATCCTTAATTCCCAAAATGACAGTCAGGACCTTCAGATCAGCTCACCCTGAGTTTTGTTTCTTGTAAAGCTGGTAGGTTTTTTCTAACTGAGCAAATTCAGCCCATGTTCTCCCACCCACCCTCAGGATGCACGCACTACATCTGGCTCAGCAAGGCTCCCCGGCTCCCCTGGAAGTGCTGTGCATAAATGCTTGTGGAACCAGTGAAGGCAGGCAGGCGCTCAACTGCAAAGCTCTGCACTTTCTCTGTGAATAATCCCCACCACGTGGGGGAGGGGAGCTGACAGATGAGGAATGCAGGAGGCAGATAGTGATCGTGAGGACATTTGTGAGGGGGCGATTCAGGGGGCATTAGTCACTGTCCTCAGAGCTCCTGCTGAAGCAAGAGAATCAAACAGATTGAGAAGGGGACCCTGCCCACCAGGAGCTCCTTCCTGAGAGTTTGCCAGGTAGGTGTTGCTACCCTTTGATCTTAGTGTAAAACCAAACGGGGCACAAGTCACAGTAAACACGCTAGTCTCATAGCAAACTCCGCACACCAAAATAACCCACATTTGTTGGGGAAGCTCTACAGACTTAGCCTTAGGAAGGCCTCCCGACTTTAGATATATACATCACTTGACAAACTCACAAATGTCCTCCCAAAGGCCAGGAGGATCCAGAGAGGTCAAATGACTTATCGAAAGTCACACAGCTGGCAGCAGTTCCTAGACTAGGACCAAGAGTAAATTAGAATCTTCAAAGATAACAATATTCCATCTCCTCATGCCTATGAGTAGGTTTGCAAGAGATGAGGTTTCCTAGCGCTCCGGACAATACGCTTTACGGCTATGCCTTTCTAAATACCCTGGATTCCAAACAATTTGGTTTCTGAGTGCACACTGTTCAGAGAGCCCTGGTGGCACAGTGGTTAAAGTGTTCGGCTGCTCGCTGGAAACCAGGAGCCACCCTGCTGAAGAAAGGCTTGGCAGTCTGCCTCCCTAAGAGATTGTCAGCCTTGGAAACTGCCAGGGGCAGTTCTATGTCCTCTTGGGTGGCTGCATCGGAGAAAACCAATGCCAGTGAGTTCGTTTTTTTGTTTTATACACTGTTTGGGAGCCTTGATCATACAGTAGTTAAGCCTGGGGGAGGTTATCCAAAAAGCAAGATAAACACACAGTTACTTGAGCTTACTAATCTGTAGTGAACGCTTCACATGTCCACATTTACCTTGCTTATTGGGTAATGACCCCTGGGTTAAGCAGTCAGCTCCTAACTGAAGTGCGGCTGCTGGAATCCCCCAGCTGCTCCATAGGCCAAAGATGTGGCACACTGGTTTCTGTAAAGATGTACAGCCTTGGACACCCCAGGGGGCAGTTTCCTTCTATCCTATAGAGTTCCTATGAGTCAGATATGATTCTATGGCAACAGTTTGGGATTTGTCTTAAATTGGTCAGATAACCAACCACCCATCAATTAAATGCAGGAGACAGTGCCAACACAGCAGATTTGACAAATTTCTATCTCAGATGCATTTTACTACACGTATAAGATGTACATAAGTTTATCTATGTCTACAGTATGTTGCTTGAAATGTAAGTATAACTATATGAAGAAACAAAGCTATCGCATGCATTCTACTATGGTAGATAAGAAATATCAATGCAGAAATACAAGATTTACACTGAAATTTCAAGTATTCCAAGTTACAAAAATGGATTTATTTCAACAAAAGAGGAAACTGGATTACTACTGCATCTACCTGACAAACAAACATCTGTGCCCATTACATATCCTCCTTCGGTGCTTATAAAAATTACGTGAGAAAAGCACATCCACATGTTAACCAAGGCAAAAAAATTAATCTAAACTTTCAGCATAGGCAGCAAAATCGTGCTCTCCATGGTGTGAAATAAAGTCTGTAAGGGCCCTAGTGACATTTTCAGAACACACACACACACCACTAACAGATGGATTCTCTGCAACTAAGCATTACTCAAGCTGAGTAATTTGCCCAAAAATTAATAATAAAGGACGATTCGCATCACTGTATGTATGCTAGTACAGAAACCAACAGGGCAGCAGTAATCCTGGGCACCCTTCACCCAATCTCCGTTTTCCAAATGTGTGCAGCAACTCCCCTCTTGCCCACACTCCACAGCCAAATCACTCACTCACTGCCACCGAGTCGACACCGACTCATAATGACCCTCTAGCACAGCCCCCTAAAAACTGAGGTAGCTGCTGCAGCCCCCAATACTTGACTGATCATATCTGGTTTGCCATTCCAGGAAAGCCCAGAGGTTTTTAAGTCTATGCCCATAGCTTGTAAAGGAAGACAGGAGAAAGCTAGCAGATAATAGCCCCTCAGCTGTGACCCGGCATATAAAAGAAATCAGCAAAATAATTCCCAGCCATCATCGGAATAATGCTACACTGGGAAGAAAGCAACATCTGGGATTGGCTCACACTGGACCAAATTTCGTGGATGGAAATCTGAGCTCCCTCGCTAAGGGCTAAACCCTGTGAGAGGGCAGCTCAGTTCGGCAAAAGCAAAAGTCTTCTTCCCATCAAGAGTTAATCTGACCCCCAAAAGAAGAGAGTCCAGAGAAGGTAAATCACCACCACCCAGCTTCCAGTGGGGTGGCGGGCAAAGGCTACCTGGTACTTCTGAGACAGGGAAAGCCGGAAGCCCTCCCAAAGGTGGGTCCAGCACCGACCATTGTCTTGCTAACCAGTCACAATCCAGCATGGAAGCGAATGTAGAATACGCGATGACTGTTTAATCACACAGTCCTTGCAGCGGACTCCAAAGTCCCTGTTCCCGGGAGAAGTTGAAGACAAAACAAAACAAAAAAACCCTGCGACTCGGACGCCCTCATAAGGCTTTCCAGCTTTTATAAAGCACAGCAATTAAATGAAGAGCCTAAGTAGAGATTTAGGCATCGCCTAAAGCATTAGATCTGCTCCCACCAATAAAAAAAAGTGCGTCAGTGAGATGGACAGGATATTATCGGAAATAAAGATCGTTATTAAAATCCTTATTGCTTTCTGTTAGACCTTCTGGGAGGTTATAATTGCATTTGGCCGCTGCAGGCTTGTCAGGGAGGCGGGATTAAACCGACGCGACCCCAAAAGGGGCAACCCAGCTGAAATCAAACAACAAAAACAGGAACTGTGATGGGCCCGAAATGGGAGGAGGGAAAGGAAGACTCCCGTTTTCATCAGTCAACATTAATGTCCTTTGTTGTTCACCTTTGCACAGACGAGCGAGAGCCACCCTGTTCCTCCTTCTCTGCACGCCAGCGCAGGCTAGTCCCTCCCTAAAAACTCCCTCCCGGCCCCAAAGACCGCGGCTCGCGGCTCCCCAGCCCGGATCGCTCCACAGGGCCGTCCGCCACCCCGGCAGCGCTCTCCCGGGCCGAGCGGGCGGGTGGCCCTAAGTGCAAACACCCCTGAAGCACCCGCTCCCCTAGGACGATCCGAGAGCGCAGCCGCGCGGAGGTTGAAATTGACCACGACCCCAAAACACACACACACACACACACACACACACACACAC